TCAGGGTTCAGGACTCATAATGCTGACTCAGGTCAGGGTTCAGGACTCATAATGCTGACTCAGGGTTCAGGACTCATAATGCTGACTCAGGTCAGGGTTCAGGACTCATAATGCTGACTCATGTCAGGGTTCAGGACTCATAATGCTGACTCAGGTCAGGGTTCAGGACTCATAATGCTGACTCAGGTCAGGGTTCAGGACTCATAATGCTGACTCAGGTCAGGGTTCAGGACTCATAATGCTGACTCAGGTCAGGGTTCAGGACTCATAATGCTGACTCAGGGTTCAGGACTCATAATGCTGACTCAGGGTTCAGGACTCATAATGCTGACTCAGGTCAGGGTTCAGGACTCATAATGCTGACTCAGGTCAGGGTTCAGGACTCATAATGCTGACTCATGTCAGGGTTCAGGACTCATAATGCTGACTCAGTCAGGGTTCAGGACTCATAATGCTGACTCAGGTCAGGGTTCAGGACTCATAATGCTGACTCAGGTCAGGGTTCAGGACTCATAATGCTGACTCAGGTCAGGGTTCAGGACTCATAATGCTGACTCAGGGGTCAGGACTCATAATGCTGACTCAGGGTTTAGGACTCATTCCTCTCTGGTGGATATATGTCTGTAAGCTTTAATATCTGATGTTGACCTGGTGGCAGCCGGTCTGGCGGAGGAGTCGCTCCGGCTTACGGAGGTCGGGGTCGGGGGAAGAGTTGGAGGTTTGTTCCAGGCTGGAGGATCGTCTGGCTGAGGCCTGAACAGAGAAGATTAAAGATAACATTCCTTCACTTTAAACAATAACACACTCATTCCCTCCTCTGTGGACGAACACTCGATGATGCACTGCTGATGCTGTTTGATCAAATACAGTGGAAGAGGATTTAAACTCATACAAGTCAATGAGTCATCTTCATAAAAATAGATAGTTTAAGTCTATTATTATTTCCCTTTGTTCTCAAAATATATTTGATATAATAAAGAGGGTTTAAATGCATTAAAAACAATGTCGTCTGCGTAACATCGTTATAAAACAGCATTTCCACCAGTCCCCAGAACAGTTTATCTATATAAGAGGACCGCACACAGAGCCCTGTGGGGCCCCATTACTCACTCCTGTAGGAGATAATGGAGAGAACATCTACTTACCTCCAAGAGTTATCGCCCGGCTGTAGGAAGCAAAGAAGCACAATTAGAATAAAAAAACACTAAATATAAAGTACGTGGAGTACTCCTTTGTTTACTCCCAACACTTAGTGACATCACGAGGGAACACTCGCTCTCCTATTGGCTAGCGCTCCAACACATTGTACGAGATAGACTGAAGATGAGCACGATATGGCCGCTCTAAATAAAGCTTATTTATAAAGAAAACGTCACCTTTTCCACTGTGTTGCGATGAGGTCCTGTGGAGACGAGAAACACAAATGTAAACGACATGATTGACACCAAAATAACTACTTACTAAAAATCAATACAATCTGACATGAGTAATATTTTTATATTTAGAATGGTACATTTCTGTGTTTAAAAACAATCAAGTATCCCTGATTGGCTCTTGCTGTGTGATGTCCCGCCCACCTCCAGAGCAGCTGTCCAATCACAGCCCTGTAACGACTACTCTCCAACCGACCCCTTAATTTAATTGAATTCAATACTTATGTTGTCCTTTGAAACCAAAGTAAGTAAATGTGCGGTATTTAAAAACAGAAGCACTTTGAAGCTTTACCTCTGATGGGGGACGGGTTCGGTCCCGAGCCTCGACCTGGTTTGTTCACACGAAGAATCGGTGGGGGCCCCAGAGGAACTGAACACAACAGGAGTGAAAAGACTCCATTAAGAGTTATTCTGAATAATATTTAACAGCTCCTGTGTTACACCATGTCACTACACACAAAACCACCCGAACAAGAGGAAAAAACATCACAAAAAGGCACAAAAATATCACATAGAGACATAAAGTGTTGAGAAATAGAAACAAAACAATCACAAAGTGTCCACCAGGGGGCGCAAAACAACCACAGATAGATGTAGGAAGAGCAAAGAGGCAGCTGTTCAAAGTCTTAGAATAGATGCACAATGACTTAAAACTGAAGACACGCAAAACTATTACACGGAACAAAATGACAAATAACAGATGAACACAAACACACTCCTATATGGGCTGAAATCAGCAAAAGAAGACGCATTCGTTTACAAAATAAATGCTAATAATCACAAAAACACGATGTCACTGGTTCACTTGATACTAATGAAGAAAAGCTGAGTAGAGAAATGTATTACAAATATAAACTCACCTTTTCTCCCCCCGCCACGAGGGGAGGGGTCTCT